GAGCAGGAGGAAGTCCCTGAGTGAGCAAAAAGCTTACAAAAAAAGACTGCTAGGACAGCCCAGGGTCTTTCAGTCATTTCTAGCCACCTATCTGAGCTTCATGGTAGAAATAAAGTTTTATGCAAACATGAGAATATGCTATGGTTTTCATAATCAAAGACACATATTCCAGTGGTAGATGTGTGTTAGCTGTGTGCCTGTGGGTAACCCACTTACCCTTCAGCTTCTGAGAAATGGGCATAATATTGACTAGCCAGAGAGATGCTCTGATGGATACATGGGACCCACTGACATGTGGCAGTGTCTCATACACCATAACCACATAATAAATGCAACCATCACATCTTAGTTCTCTTCATTATCACTCCCAGCACCGTCATCAACAACCAAAGTCTTGCCTTTAACAGAGAGGCTCAGAGAGTGAGTATCTACGGGCATCAGCTAGTAAGTGGCTGTTATGGTTTGTGTCTAGATGTCCTGTGCGCCACCCTCCATGTGGTCATAGATGTGGTTTTTTGGAGGTAGCTACATCTAGGGTGTGTGATGCTGGGATTAAGGGTGTGATTACTAAGTTAGTTTAGTATAGTTGGTTTAGCATAGTTCTTGGTGAGGATAATGGGAAGGCCCACCCTGGGTGTGAGTGGCACCACCCAAGAGGCCCGTAGCCTGGAAGGGATAAAAGGGAGAGGCAGGCTGCTGCTTGCTGTTTTCAGCTGTGCTGCCTCCTGTCTGCTTTTTCCTCTGCCATGCCACTCTAGTTTGGAGCCAGCCAATTGTGGACCAAAACCTCTACAAACTGTGAGTCAAAGCTGGGTGTGATGGCGCACACCTGTAATCCCAGCACTCAGGAGGGTGAGGCAGGAGGATCATTTTGAGATTGAGGTCAGCCTGGGCTACAAAGTGAGTTCAAGGCCAGCCTGAACTGCATAGTGAGACCCTGTCTCAAAAAGACCAAAAAAACACCCCAAACAAACAAACAAAAAAACTGTGAGCCAAAACAAACCTTTCCTCCTTTCATGTTGGGCATTGTGCATTTTGTCCCAGCAATGAGGAAAGTACCTAAGACAGTGGCAAAGAACAGGCCTCTCATACCAAGGCTCACATGACTTCTCTTATACTTGGCTTTGCAGCTTGCACAAAGGACACTGAACCTACTTCTCTGAGTCTTGAGTTTTCTTATTATGAAGTGGGAATGTGAAGTCTCCTTCTCACCTTGCAGGGGTGTGCTCTGGCCGAGATGCGATCCTTGATGTTTGTAAGCTTTGACATTGTTGAGCACTTTGCATAAGACGCCTACTGTTGCTGCTCAGGGTTACAGATCAATTCTTCCCTGGCGAGTATTAGGGTATGCATTGCTATGGTGGCAGAGAGTAAATATTCAATAAAGCATGGGGGCTGAGCCCAAGAGGGCTGTGGTGGGCAGGACAGAGACACTGATACGAAGTTTCCTGCCACCCTCAGAGTGCAGGCAGAAGGCAACCCCACTGCGGATGGAGTCAGGAAGAAGGGGGAGGCCCTCAGCCTTGATAACCAGCCCACTTCCTTTGCCACTTAGCCACAGTATCCATGGCAACTAGGTCCCTTAGGCTCCATGGGTGAAGGGACCTAGCTCCCCAGGTCTCTTGTCATTTTCTCCCTGTAACCTTGCCAGGACCCAAGTCTTAGGCTAACATAGCCCCAACCCTTACTGCCCCCAGCAGCATGAAACCAGTGTAGGCAGCATCCATCCTCACAAACTGCTCTGAGAGGCATCCACTTTCTGGATGAAGAAACTGAGGCTCATCAAAGTCAAATGTCTTGCTGAAGCTCCACAGCTACTGACCAGTAGACCCAGACCTAGGATTTGAAACCACAGTGGTCTGGTACCAAGTACAGTGACCACTCAGTTATCTGGCCTCTCCTCCAAGGTCAAGTTCCCTGGTCTCCATTCTAGCTTTCTCCCACTGCTTTCCATTGCCTGCGGCAGCAGGAATCACTGGATTTGGGGGTGATGTAGGGAAAAGCATCTTCAAAAATCATACTAAAGCATTTTCTAACAAATCTACCCCAAGGTCATGTAGGAGAAGGAAATTTTTATTTAACCTACTTTTTAACCACTAATTATAGCTCAGGTTCTGTGAAATTAGAGGTTAACTTGTGGAAATGAGCTAATTTGCAAGTGATTTTTCTTTGGTGGAAAAGATTACCCCAGCCAGGGACAGTGATGCATGCCTGTGATCCCAGCTACTCGGAAGGCTGAGCAGGAGCTTCACAAGTTTAAGGGCCAGCCTGGGCAATTTAGGGAGATCCTGCCTCAAAATTTTTTAACAAAAGGTGTGGCTATAGCTTGGTTCAAGCCCTAGTACCATAAGAAAAAATAAAGAAAAGCTAACCCCCAAAGTGATGGTATTATGGTATTATTCCCCTTTGTGATCATAACTAGCTTGCGTTAGTTTCTCCTGTCTTTCTTTACGCCATCTTGCTGATTCCCTCAGCAGGAAGTGGGACACATCTCTCACACAGGCTCACTGCATAACTGTATGAGTTTTTCAACTGTCTGAAAATGACCCTCCGACACGAAGAAGTGTTTGTGCTTTCCCGTTTCAGTTCTGATTTCCCTTGAAAAGGAAGGGTTTCTAGCATGGATAGCTCGGCTTGAGCTTTGCTGTCCAGGCACCTGCTTTCTCCCTGGCCAACAGGCTGTCTAAGGCCTCATGTGGTCCCAGGAGCAATGTGGAGGAGAGGATTCGTAGTGGTGAGTGATGGTTGGGGCGAAGGACCCTCACTGCATTTCCATCTCTGCTGTCCCCTCTGCCTGGCTCTTGTCCCTCAGGCTTAGCACTGTATCACTGTAGGGTCTGGGCCTTCCCACCACCAGCCCCTTCTTTGCATATCTGCTTTGTGGGCTGCCCAGAATGGGGCTCCTGCTCAATCCCCCACAAAAATATCCCCAGGCAGAGGATGCACTCATTTGAGGCAATCAGTTTGCTCTATTTAAAGTTGGAAAGTGGTCTCCCTGCACGTGACACCGCTTCTCCAACCTAGGACCTGCCTGACTGATTTCAGAATAAGGAGTCAGTCAGGTGTTTGGCATAAACTGAAGGCCGTACCAAGACTTGTGCACTTTGAATACTCTTTATCTCTCAGAATTATAGAAGGGAAGAAAAGCCTTGCCTCCTGGTAAAGGAACTCCAGTCACCAGCAAGAAGCTAAAAGAGGGACCGATCAGTTTGTTTGGGGTCAGTGGGAGGAGAGAATAACAGAGACTGGCCTTAAGCCAGCCTGCTGCCTTTTGTGTTAGGTTGGCAGACATTTTCTAATGTTCCTGAGCACCTTTCCAAGTCCAACACCTTTGGCTGTGTTTTTCCAGCACGGGTTTAAGAATGCCACCTCGTCATACAATAAATCTTTATAAATTCATTCTGTTTCTAGATACGTATTTTGTTCACATAACCTATCTATTCTTATACCAATATGTGTCATCTTAATACCCATAGTCCTACATGACTTTCAAAGATCTAGTAAGGGAGATATCTCATTCTGACTCTTGTTCAAAAATATATAAATAAAGCCCAGCACTCAGGAGGCTGAGTCAAGAGGATCTCAAGTTCGAGACTAGCCTGGACTACATAGCGAGACCCTGTCTCAAACAAAGCAAAACACAACAACAGAAATATAAATAAATGCATAAATAAACACTACTTCAGAGCATTTATTCTTCCAAATAGACTTTAGTTTATTTTGCTAAAATTTAAAAAGGTCTTCTTGATATTTTGATTGTGGTTACATTTATTTCTGTAACACCTACTGCTATTGTGATATTGAGTCAGTTGAACAATATGTCTCTTCAGTTACTTGTCCTTCAGTAAATTTGGTTTTCTCTGTTATTTGTATTTCTCACTTTATATTTTTAGTTGATATCATAACATGGTTCCCCCACCCAACAAACTATGTTTTCTTGTTAGTGGATGTATGGGAAGGCTTTCCACTCTCTGTTTTCCAGTTCTGAAAGTTATTCATTCAGGTGATTCTCATAGATTTGACAGATAAGCGATTGTTTGAGTGCTAAATATGGTAAATACTACTTTCTTCAGATGAGGAAATAGTCTTTATGTTTTTTTGCATAGGCAAAAAGTCTTATACACAAAAAAGAGGAAGAAAATTGAGTTTAGTGGAAATTGTTATTTCACATTAGGCTATTGTCATATTTTAAATATTTTTTGTAGCCAGGCATAGTGACGCACAGCTGTAATCCCAGCTACTAGTGGGTGGAGGGCTGAGGCAGGAGGATCACAAGTTCAGCGCCATCCTGGAATTCTTAGGAAGACCCCATCTCAACATCTAAAAATTAAAAATGGCTGGAGGTGTAGCTTAGCACTCCCTGGATTCAATTTCCTGGGAATATTAATGTGATAAATTAATATGAGGTGACCTCTTAGAAAATCATATTTATGTTTTTTCTTGCTCTATCACAGTTTTCTTACACTTCATTTTCATTTGCTATTTCTCAAGAATTCCTACTTTCCAGACCCTCTACATTAAAACTTGATCAGTGCCAAGTCCTTGCCCGTACTTGTCATGGTGGCCATGAACTTGTCCACTCCTTCCTTGGCCAGAACTGAGCCAACACACATATGCAAATGCCTGTCTGCTCCTAGGAAAGGAAAACAAGTAAAGGCCTCCTGTCAATATTCTGAGGGATTCTCTAGCTGACCTGGGCAACCTTAGAGACCCCTTGGCTGACCAGAGCAGAGGTAGACAAGTGGTAGGGCTTGCTTGTTCTAAAGACACTCCTTTGAGGTCCTTCCTATGTTTATGACCCTTGGCTTACACAGAGTTGGCCATGTGATCCTGCATGCACCATGAAGAGGAGACTCGAAGGTTTTGACCCAGGGTGTGGGCAGAGATGAATCAAAGGTTGTAAGGTGAGGAGGGTCTTAACCAAAGAACAGTTTCAGAGGAGACAGAAGTATCCCAACTGCTTTAGTCCTGCCCCTTGTGCCAGCTTCCTCAACACTCACCTGGGGCCTTGAGTTCCGCATCGATGAAGGTGAGCAGTTCCTGGCAGATGCTACAGTAAGGAACAGGCCAGGTCAGGAACCGGTGGTAGGTTCTGGCTGCCTTCAGAAGGAGATCTGAGTCTGGTGGGAAATGTGGTGTCTAGGATGGAGAAGGAGCAGCAAGCAGAAAGATCTGTGTGAGAAAGAGCTCACTGCTATTCCAGCATCTGCTCCCTTTCTGGGATGTTCTGGAAAGGACGAGCATCTCCTGGGAACGGTGTGTCACAGGACAGTGTCGGGAAGAACCAGAGTGGCTCACAGGGAATAAATTACAAATGGGCAGGGTATTTCTTCAATAAGTGCCTTGTTTTTACCTAACAGGCCATGGTTTTTAGTCAACACTTGAGCGAGCCTCTCTGAAAAGCTGTCCCTTTAGTGATCGTTCTAAACAGTGCCAATGCTGCCATTCATTTTGGGGTATGAATTTCAATGCTTAAATCACCTTTATTTAAATACACTTGGTAGAGCGAAACGTTTATTCCTCGAGTGGATTGTCCCGACATACATGGTGTCACTTGGTATCACTAGTGTGGTGAACACAGGGACAATCACTAAGTAAAACTGACCACTGGAATGAAAAATGAGGTGGACACAAAATCTCTCCACAGAATCTCTTCTGTGACTTCTGAACTTGCTGTGACAGAAGTTCCTCTATGAATGCCCAGAGATGGCAGGCATCATGGCGGGCAAATGCCTCTCAAGATGGCAGCTTATAACCCAAAAATGGGCATCTGAGATGAATATGAACTCCTCAGATGAAGAAATACAAAAGGCAAATAAATATAAGATGGCAGCTCTGAAGACACCAGGGACTGAAGCCCATCTCAGTGTCATCATGAAAGTTGCTCTCTCTGTTTACCCCCAGAGGTGTGAGGGATGTGCCTGCATTGGGGATCTCTCTCCCCTCTCTTCCCTCTTTTGTTCTCCTGTCCTGGGCCACCAGGACTTACACAAAGGACAGTGGAATAGAAGAGCAGAGCCAGCGGGGTGAGGAGGTCATAGGTGCCCTTTTCTTGGACCTGCAGAGAAGACAGGGAGGTCAAAATGCTATAAGACTCTTGGCCTATTTTGAAGCTAGCAGGGCTTTGAGGCACTGAGAAAACCCTACCATCTCTTCTGTGCTTGACAGACTTCCTCAGGGTCAGATTTAGACCTTTCCTTCTCTGTATCATGAATAGAGGATGTGTTTGCCACAACTGCTGTCTGATCTTCTCCACAAAACCCTCCCCTACTGCTACGCAGCAGTGCATCCTTTATATTTAGGTTTCTAAGTTAAGCTCTCCAGAGGTGGGTTAGCTCTCAAGTTGGTTTGCTTGTGATCAGCACATAAAATCATCAGCCAAAAGACGTTGCCAGAACTGTGACTTTGGAGGCCTTGATAAACTTCCTTCTCATAAGGATAGCTAGCTCAGAGATAAAAGTCTCATGTTTTCCAAATCACTAGTGCTTCTAAAAACAAAACAAAACTTAAAGAGTCTTCTTTATAAAAGAGCCAGAACCCTCTTTGGGGACTCACAGCCATTCTGGAACCACAGCCCCGGTCAGCATCAAACACACTCCTTAGTCATAAAAGCCCAGTATTAAACTGTCAGAAGAGGCCTCAGTTCACCTTCCCAATCAGTTTCTCTTCCGTGTCTTTGTTGCTATGTCTTCCTTTTGAGGAAAGGAATTCAGCAAATCTTCCTTTCCCCTTTCTAGTCAATACCTTCACTTACAAGCAATGTCTTCCCTAAGAAGCAGCTTACACTCTTGCCCCTGGTTCACCTGTTACATGTTCACCCTAGGAAGAACACACAAGCGCTGCTAAAATAACAGAACTCATGGACCCCAGGGTCTTCTCATGGTGCAGAGGAGGAAGGTCTTAATCTGACCCTGCAGGAGTCTGTCAAGCACAGAAGAGACAGTAGGGTTTTCAGTGCCTCAAAGCTGTACCAGTGTCAGTATAGGCCAAGCACCGCCCCCCAACACTCCTGGTCCAGGGTCCCCAGGACTGACCTATTTCTCAACTCTAGGAGGCCCTCCAGCCCCACCCTCCCATCCTGGGCTCAACCTCACCTCCCGGGTTTTCTGCAGGATCTGCTCCAGGAGGATGAGGAAGTGGCCCGGGTCCCTGCTCACTAGCTCCTGTAGGCTCCAACAGTTCAGACAGAGCCCGGCTGGGAAGGGAGTGAAAGAGACAAGTGGTCAGTGCAGGTGTTGGCCAGCTGCTCTCGGGCAGGAGGTGCACAGAAGGGGGAATCTATGCGGAACATGCCTTAGTGCATGCCGGATTGCACTGGAACATCATTTTCCAAAGTAAGAGAGGCTTGTTCCCCCTCTGGGTACCTTCCCAGAAGAATTCAAAACATCATACCACAGCAATATAGGTACACCCATGTTTATAGCAGCATCATTTGTAATAGCTAAATTTTGGAAACAACCAAATGCCCATCAACTGGAGAATAGATAAAAAAGATGTGGTTTTTAAATGGAGTCCTACTCAGCCATAAAGAAGGATAAACTTGAGACTTATAGGTAAATGGACATAACTTGAGACCACACTCAGTGAAATAAATCAGACCCACATGTGTAAACACTATATTGTCTCACTAGCATGAGAAGCTGAATGAGTAAATAAGATCCAAAATGTACAATAAATATTGTGAATTGGGAAGAAACTGTTCAAAAGAAAAGAGAATCTCATAGGGCAAAGGGAGGAAAAGAAAAGGGGGGAATATATATATATATATATATATATATATATATATATATATATATATACATAAGATAGTTAAGACAGTTATATAGCTAGTTGCTCTTAGTTCTTGGGAAAGAAAGAATTGCACTAATATTGTTTGGACAATATTTCATGCCTATATCTTGTACTCTGAGGAACTACTATAAAGACAATAATATGCACTATATTAATTATTGTTACTCTCCTATTAGCCTCATGTGAAACTCTGTTTTATTTCTATTTTTCTTCTTCTCTTTCTAAAAAAAATTACAAAAAAAGAGAGAGAGAGGCTTGGAGAAAATGCGGGCCAACACTCTACTGCGCCCCCTCAGGATATAATGACCCATTTCTATCCCTTTATGTACAGGCGGCTCAAAAGCCACAAGGACTGAGGGCCCAAGCTGGGGTCCTCTCAGAGGCCAGGGAGCAGCTGAACTCTAACCCTGCACCTCTGGGGGAGCATCGGAGCCCCACAGGCCTGGCTGCCTGCAGAGGAGGCTGACACCTGTGAGATGCAAGGACGTTAGATCAGAGGCAGAAGGAGAGGAGCCATGCTGAGCTCCACCTGGAAGCCCAAGAGAAAGGCCGAGATGGGCTGGGACTCCCCAGGACTGCCTGGCCGTGGAGCCGGGGAAGGGGAAGCTAAATTTATCTGTAGTTCGAAAGATATGATGAGCATTTTGTCACTGTAACTTCCCCAGACTTTCTTAAATTGGTTGATCTGTTTCCCTGAAGTCAGCAAGGGCAAACCCCTAAAAATTTAAAGGGTGGTTACAGGGATGGGGGAGGCTGTGTGTCAGGAAGTGGAGGGACAGCAGTGAGGGTGGAGGTGGACTGACCATGAATTTCACGGACCTCGGCCCCCAGCCGCTCAGAGCCCTGGGCTCCTTTCAAAGTGCTGGAGCCCCCAGTAGTGTGCTCAGGTAGTCACAGGTATTTGTAAAAGTTGTAAAAGTCCGATATTCTCATTTCTTTTTACTTAATGCTGCCCCACTAAGCTTGGGCTCATCAAAACCTGGGTAGGAGACCAGAAGCACCTACTGTGTGCCAGTGTGGCGTGGGGCCTTTGCGTGTATTTTCTGGAAGTCTCCTGGTCTTTCTTCAGAAAGGTGGTTCCTGTTATTATCCCATTTTACAGAGAAGGTAAATGGGGTCCTGAGAGAATAGGTGGCTTGTTCAAGGTTGTATAGCCAAAGAGAGGCAAATTTAATTCAGTTGAGCTGAGACCTGCTATGCACAAGTGCAAAGGTCTTGGTGTAGGAAGGAACTAGGTATGTTCAAAACACTGTGAGTATCTATCTCATAGAGTAGTTAGAGAGGAGGGGTTGGGGATTAGCTCAGTGGCACAGCGCCTGCCTGGCAAGCATGAGGTCATGAGTTCAATTCCTGGTACCGGAAAACAAAACAAAAAAAAGAAAATAGAGTAGTTAGAGAGGAAAATGAGATACAGGACATTAAAAAATGTCTTTTTCTTTTTTTTTTTTTTGAGACAGGGTCTCTCTAGGTAATTTAGGCTGGCCTTGAACTGCAACCTCCTGCTTAAACCTCCTTAGTATAGGCATATACTACCACACCCAGTTCTAAGCAGGATAAGGAATTCTTACTACAACTAGGCACCAGCCTTCAGAGATACAGTGGCGCCAGCCTCTACACACCCTGCTTCTCAGTCCTGAGGATGATGGAGCACAGAGGGCTCCCATGCCCTGAGACGCTGAGATTTTCTCTTGTTCTACAGGGAAGAGGTGGGGAGAGAGGTGAAAGAAACTAGAAACAGGTACACAGGAGAACTGTGTGGAGAGCTGCCTGCAAGTGCCAGGCTGCTGCCTTGGAATTAGCAGTTGTAGTGTTTCTTGGAATCAACAGCTGCGGTGTTTCTAAGCAGGGTTGGTGCCTCTCCAAGGAGCTATGCTTCTAATACATGTAAAGGAGGCACAATACTGCCCTGAGCAGGATGAGGAAGCTGCTTGGGAGAAAGCAGAGACAGCCACACACCAAGTACTTATTCTACATCCGGTGTTATGTCAGGTGCCTGTCCAGGTGAAGCCTAGAGACTTCACACATGGGGTGTAAGCTAGAACCCTCCAGCCCCAATGCTGGCCCTGAGGCTGCCTCAGGCCCTCAGATCACCTCCCCAGCATCCCCCGGCTGACCTGACCAGGACGAGGAGCGGCGGCCCAGGCTGAGTCCATGCAAGCAGCGCTCCAGGGCATGCTGGATGCGGTCCTCCGTGCACGTCGTGGCCCCTGGCTGCATCGTGAGTCATTGCCTGCAGAGGGGGGCAGACACCATGTCACCCTCTTCTCTGCCTCTGGGAGCCCTGGGCCCAAAAGAGCAGCAGCAAAGACAAGTGGGAATTCTTAGCCCAGGGGAGGGAGCCCACCACTGCTTGGGTGCCATGCGCACCACGAGAGGGGGCTCCGCTGTCTCCAGGGCAGGGGCAGCTTCCAGAGGTCACAGCCCAGCCGCAGGACCGAGCACTCAGAGGCAGACCATGAGAAGAAGAAGTGAGTGGCCAGAGATGGGAGCAGAGGGGGGCTACAGGCCTGCCTGTTCCAAGTGGGGAGTGCCACCCAGTGCCAAGGAATGCCCAGAAATGACTTGGGGGATTTTTTTTGAATGTCCAGGCTTATGTCCCCAAGTCCTCCAGGGACAGCTGCAGTAGCTGCCTCTGTGTGCTGGGCACTCCACCGCTGAGGTGCAGGGCAGGACTGTGCCCACACATCCCCCACTCCCATCCCACCATGCCCTCTGCTCGGGTACCCAGGTCTCAGGCACCTGTGTCCCTTCTGCCTTAACTTCTTCCACTTTTTCTTTCCTTTCTCTGCAACTTCATGGCACCAGTCATCCAAGGCCCTTGCCTGGTCTCCCTTCCTCGGTCTCCAGAGGATCCTTACTTCAGCCACGAGGCCATCAAGAGGAGGACTTAAGAAAGGGCTTTAGGGGCTGGGGATTTAGCTCAGCGGCAAAAGCGCCTGCCTGGCAAGCGCAAGGTCGTGAGTTCGGTTCCCGGTACCGGAGAAAAACCAAAAAAATAAATAAATAAATAAAAATGTATGTGCTTTATTATTTGTGGAGAAATACATTTCATCTAGTTATTGTACAGTACAGCATATGATTGTTAGGTTTTTTTTTTTTTTTT